TGTTGTTGGGTTACGGTTAGTGCTTTAGGGGTGGTTTGGAAAATTGATGATATTAAACAGTTTTGCTGTCAGTCATGTCACATCATGACAAGGCTGTTTCAAAAGCAGGAAATGTGACCAAATGTCGAAGAAATATTCTCCTTATAGAGGCAGCAAATTCATCAGATGAGACACATATTCCAAAACATTTCCTTTTTGGAAACTAGAATCCTCCCTTCAGCAGAGTCCACTGACGCGACGCTGGTGCAAAAATCGGACTCCTGACCAGAGATAGTTTTTGAACATGTCTTGCCGCCCCCCAAAATGGACAGACGCACCTCCATCTTCAGGTCTGAAATCCAAAAACGCAGACCTTTTGGACAAGTCCAAAAGTGGCCGCGATAGGCGGCGCGGCATTTAGTTGTTTTTTACGTTTTTTCTACGGTCTTTTTTGATGTGCTTTATTCCTGATGTTTTTTTCGTTGCTCTTGAAGCCTGGATGAAAACCAAAGACCAAAATTGTGAAAACATGTGAAAACAAGTCATGCGTTTGATTTGTGCTTGTGTGTTTTTTCTAGTTAAAATTATACATTTTAAATAACCTTTGCCTCATGTTTCATGATTCGATCCTCGTCACGGACACTTTCTTGAAATCATGATTTCCAGACCCATTTTAGATGACTTTGCGAGAAAGTTATTTTCTTGTTTCGCTTTTCAGATTAAATGACTTGTGCAGACAATTGGTGATTGGTGTGTGAAAGTCCTTCTATTTAACCAATTTCTGGATAAAATGAGGGGCTGAACCTCGGTATACGGTAGCAGCGGGGATCAGACATACAAAGAGAACAGGAACGAACAAGAACAGAATGAACAGACACTGAAAGGTATATATACATTGTATACTGTATATATATATATACACGTGATCCCCAACCACGATGAAGTAGCGTTTGCAGGTCCAAATCAGAACCTCTTGGACTAGGGACAAGCAATTGAAAGCCATAGTTTCTTTTGAACACCGTGTTCGACATTTTTTTCCTAAGCCTTTAGTTTAGTGCTGTGTTTGCAACCTTCTTTTCCTATCTGACTCACCCTCTCTATACTTGTTCCCAGTGGGGATGAAGGGGCGTCAGGTAGCAACGAAGGCATGTTGTCCGTGGTGGGTAGCAAGGCCGCACAGGTCGGATGCAGCAGGCACAGGTGATTTCCTTTGGGCAGTGGCCAATATATAATGACAATCACCCCGGTATGTTGTAGTATAGATCACTTGACCTCACCGTAAAGCAGCAACCAACAGTGCAAAAAATAGATAGAAACTGGATTGTTTGCGACAAACGGACAAGTGCAGGGTGTGTACTGAGTGTGTGCATGTTGACAATTAAGTTCTTTGCCCTGAGGGTTCCGCTTTGGTGGCAACCGAGACCGTGTACGCTGCGCCATGTATTGTTTGACTCCTGGCACAGCTTCTTCGCAAGGGTTCTTTAGCCAGAGGATGGTAAAATATTGTAAGATTGGATTTACTGTAGTGAGTGAGTGAACTTAGAATCCACCAATTTTTTTGTGTTCTTCCCAAACCTGATCCTCAGTAGCTGCTCACCCTGTCATAAATTTCCAAGGCTTCTGGAGAAATTCAGTTGGAGCTGTGTTGAACGAATGGAGAAGCTTGAGAGCTGTGGCAACTCCGACGATTTGGTTTGGAAAGCCGCCAAGCCTTTGTTGCAGGTGTATGTTCCTCTGAAGGCCACAGGAGGTCAAGCCAGGGAAAGGGTGCAACCTATAGCAGGAGAGCCTGTTGAGCAGATACCATCAGGAAGAGGTGAAGGAAAATGGACGCAGCACCAGTTGCCACAGAAGGAGACGGGCGAGCAGCATGAAACTCTGAAAGCCGCGAAAGACAAGGGCAAGGGTCTTGCCTGCGATGAGCTGGTTCTTGCGTGCTGTCTCTATGCGTCCCAATGTGGTTGAGCGGAACATCTTCACCTACCAGATAGAACAAATCCTTATATAGCCACCCCTACATTCATTCGTGCTCCATGATGCTGTGTCGGATGGGGCTTCAGAGGACCACTGGCTTGCGTCCCTTCGTGGTGACACCCTCGTGCTTGGGAAGTGGAGGCCGACTGAGCACCCGAGAAGAAGCGGTTGAAAAATACTGAAAAGATGTCAAACCGTGCAATTTGTGGCCACACCTTTCAGTGAGACACCGAAAGGGCCTCTGAATGGTCAGCGCATAGCCCTGCAGCTATGTTCAAGCAAGATTGCAAAAAGATGCAAAAAGGGAAGTAATTAGCACCAAAAGAGGTGAGCCATGTTCATGGCACGCAGGAGATGTTTCCAATGCGCAGCTGAACTTCTTGGCTCATGCAGCTAGCAGCTGGAATCAGCTAAAAGCAGCTGTGTTTCCAAATGACAATGTCGACATTGTAGTATGGTTAGCGATTTGCAGTGCAAGCAAGGTCCGGTCAACCAAGGCACGGCTTCAGTGCCTTCACAGACTCGAGTCATCACACGAACAAAAAGAGCAGCCTGCTAATTTGGACCTTGGAACATGACATTGGGCAATCCGGGTCGGGGCCAAGCGGTTTGGGTTCCTGGCCAAAGGTTCCAATTTTCAGTGCAGATGGAAACTTGACGTGGCCGCCATGGCCCAAAATGCGCATCCATTCGATGAAACGATCGTTGGGTCCTCAAAAGCGGCCCATCAGATTCCTAGCGGTCCTAGCATTTTGCAGTGTGACAGGCACGTGCTTCGAGCGCTAGCAAGATCTATAAGGATGCGCAAGCGGAGCAAGCGGATGACCGGGTGGGTTCAATTTGTTTTAAGTTTGGCCAATGTCCTTGATTTTTTTGAGGCAGAGCACGACATGTGCAGGTCTTCTACTTGAATTTCCTGGTTCTGGAAGCAAAGCCCTTCCAGCATCCAGGGCAAGCACCTCCGCCGAATCTCGGATCATGTTTTTTTTTGCAAGGATGGGAACAGAAGCAAAACGGAAGATGTACCATCATCAGCACGGAGGACAGTGTCAACAAGAATGGAAGAGGTTCACGAATCCAAGGAAACATGATCTCGGCTTCTCTGTTTTTCATCATCTTGAAGAACGCGACGTCTTTTGCCCAGTTGGTAGAATTGCTCTCAGGGATTTGAGAGCTGCAAATATTTCATGTGGAGCTCGAGGTTGATCGCATTTTTTCTCCGCATCACCCAAATGCGGAGTATGTTAGCAGCCTCCTTCCCTTAGTTGCAGCCTCAGTTCCTGAAGGGTTGTTCGGGGCCAGGCTGCACACCCGCAAGCTGCCGAGGTCATTACCGAAAAGCTAAAACACATTGGCATTAGAGCCACTGCGGAACCGATGTATCCACGTGGATCCTTTTGTGCTTTGCCATCAGCTCAGCTGCACGTTCTGCGGTTGAGTGGGTTCAAAAGAGCTCGCGATTCTGAGGAAGCTCACCATTCTGCACGTGAATGAAACGATTATGAACTCTCACAAGCTCATTTCATTGTCGCAACTGGTGCACTCCTGCACGGGTTATCAGCTGGAGGATTCTGAGACTTGGCCCGTTGGGCCCATTTAGCTCGTTTTTAGAATCCCCTTAGACGCGCATATTGAAGCCCCAAAGATCCTTATATTATATACCAGCACTTTTTTGACATGTATTTGCATAGACAATTTCGTCCTGAATCCCAGGATGCTGTGGATGACGTACTTGCGCTTATATACGAGAAGCTGCCAGACATGCTGGAAGAAGATGGTGTGCAGCATGGCACGGCGTGTTCTTGTCATTGTTCCACACTTTGAAATACTTTCGGTCCAGGTTCGTCAGAGTTTTTGTGTTTCTCCTTTGCCCCCATTCCTTTCAATAACCAAGGTCATTTCTTGTACTGTACTTTATTTATATTCTAATATATTAATATATTGTTTTCTTTTCAGCTGTCCTTTCCCTCTTCCTTGTCCATTCCATTGCTTATTCTTGTCCAGCCGCATGCCTGAAAAGATCCCGACCTCTCCCGAATTTTGTTCCTTGTCCATTTTTCTGGTTTTTCTTTGAAACAACAATGTTCCCGAAAAATACTGTTAAAACCGTACGGAATCTATGTAAAGCTACCATTCGTTGGTTGCTGCCAAGGCAGGTTGAAATAGTGGCATACACCAGCCTTGAAGACGAGATCCAATACATTGACAATATTAAGAAGTTTATCAACGTGCCGCAGGTCCGAAGACGCTTGGAAGTTCTAGTTGGCCAAACATGCTTCATGCTGAGCAAAGGCTTAGACACAGTTGGATACAACACCTGGCCGAGGAGAGTATTGCACACCTGCATCGTTTGGATTGGAGTACTGCTCTGTTTCTTGCGTTCTTTCCTGATCTGGATATATAGATACCTGCAACGCAGGCAGGGCTGTAGGGTCTGGACTCTGGAGGCGTTGCCTCAGGATGGATTAGCAGCTTTCTTGTTACTAATGCACTTTGTTACTTGTAGCGATGTTTTTGCTCCCAGTAGCGCGTTCTTGTTACTGGTGGTAATGCCAGGAGCTACTAGCAGCTTCTTGCTCCTAGTAGCGATGCCCTTTGTTCCTAGTAGCTTCTTGTTACTAGCAAACTATTGTCTTGATCCGCAGGCTTTATGGCACCGACTGCGAAAGCCAATCCATCCGTAGAACATGGCAAATAGCACACGACGATGCTGGATTTCACTATTCTACTATTTTGGCTGGCCTCTAATTTTAAGTTGCTGCAGCCAGATGAGCTGTTCAGGAGGCCAAACTGATGGGTCTGCATTTTTTGGCCAAAGGACGGCCCATGACGTTTGAGCCACAAATGATCAATTGGCAGTTGGCAAAAGCCCGGTGTTCAAAATCTGCCTAGACACCAGTTGTAAGCGTTGCATCCTGATATCTTCAAGAAGTCTTTTGTTTTTTTTTTTACTTTGCGAAGCTGGTAAAGCATTGGGCAATGCGAAGCATTTCGGCTGAGCTCCTTGACAGCTTTGGTGATCGTTATCAGCAATCTCATCTTTGCAGGTTGCAGCGCAGGCCGGTCTTCAGCGGCTTCTCAACAACCAGGTGTCCAAACAGCAGGCTCTGACAAAATACAATTGAGGGAACTTTCACGCAGAACATTTGCAAACTTTAGGACCGGTTGACACTTGGTACGCTAGGCAACTGGGGCCACACTTGACGTTGCCTTGGCTGATCTCGATTCTTTGAGGTCAGCGGAGCTGACTTGCATTGTCATTGTTCCTCAATTCAATAGCTTGGCAATGTCCTTGTTGCATTTCAGATCTTGGAAGTGGACAAGTGCGTGATTCCAGTGATGAGGCGACATGCAGCAGAAGCCGCCAAAGCCGCAAAACAGGACGCTTTGGCTTCGCTGCCCACGCCTACATTCAGTTCCTTTAGATGGTCTCGCACGGCTGTCAAAGTGAGCATCTTGGAATGCAGGTTGTGTCTGGCCTTTCCCGACCAGGTGCTGGCTACGAAGGCGCTACTGGTCGTTGTATTCCCAAACTATACTTACAGTATAAATATAGAGCAGGCCAACGCTTCATGGCATGCTGGGTTGACTGATGTGTTCCTCGGCTCTTCAAGGCCAGGTGGCCTGTCAAATGTCCTCAACGCAGAACTTGTCGCACCAATCGCTCCCAGAGCAATGTACAACTATCCTTCAACATCAAGCTCATGGTGCCAAAGAAGGGGCACCAACACTCCCGAAACATAAGCACTTGTGGTTGACCGAGGGTTCTTCACTCTGTACGACATATACCCCGCTGACAGCAACCCCAACAAACTTTGCCTGTGCCATAGCTCTAAAGGTACTCCTTTCTTTTTTGCTCCAAAGCCCTTTGAAAGGTTGTAATAAAGGAGTAGAACAACATTTCTGGTTGCACTGCGGTTTGTGCAGCACTTGTGTTTTGAGAGATTTGGTGTGGATGGTTGGGTGGTCTCCGTGGCTATTGTTCCGGATTCCAGGTGCAGCCCAGGTTGACAGCGACGTCAGCAAGCTGCTGGAGGAGCAGTATGAGAAAGGAGCTTGCCAATGTAGTCTCTAGACTCCAGGACTCTAGGACCTCTAGGACTTGAATTTGACATATTGAAATATCGGGCCACTCCCATAGTAGGAGAGCATTCCAAGATTCAACTCCCCCAAAGTGGAAAGCAGCGTGCATGCATGGTGAAGCTGGGTCGCAGGATCCTGGCCAGGTTGATTGATGCAGATAGATGGGTAGATACAATGTGGATCAGATCATATTTGTTTCAATGCATACAATTGCAATGCAACTTGCTAGACTGCTAGAACGAACGAAACGCATGTATGCACATGATTGCACATATGGATGTATGATGCATGCATGCGTGCATCATGTGTTATGCATGCCAGGGAAGCTCAGGCTCCAAGGCTTGAAGCTTGATGTAAGAGAAATCTGGAAACCCATTCAACCACTTGCGAAACAATCGCCTTTTCATCTTCCAGCACCCCATGGTTGTGTCGGTTGTGTTGTGTATTTCGTGCATTTATTGGCCAAAGAGGCGAAGACAAGTGGCACCGCATGTTGCTTCCGCAGACGAGGACTTTGGCCTTTTGCAAGCGGATGGCAGCACGATTTCGATGTCCGGTGGTCAAAAGAAGGCCAGTCCATGCCAGTCCATGATTTTCCTTTGATCTTCCTTTCTGCGGTTCACCACTGTGGCACTTGCCTTTTGCAGCAACCTGCCAGGATGACATCGTTGAAGATGTTAGAAAGGTCTCTACAGCAGCCCTGGAGAAGAAGGTGCAGTGGGCTGCCTTGAACTTTCTTTCCAATCAACCAATCAAGTTCTTTTCTCCATGGCTGTAGGGTGCTGGGTCACTGCTGTTGGCACATGATGCGCCGGCCTTGGCTTGTGGCTTTTAGAAAGCCACAACCACTGCAACCACTTCCATAGTACTATTGTGAACGACGGCATACATGGCCGCATGTGGCGTGCAGCAAGTTGACAGTGTTTACTTTCGATGAAGGATGTGAGCAGATGTAGAGGCTTCGGAAGGCTTCCGCATTGTAGCAGGGCCTTGCCAATGTGTCAGCCTGGCAGACTCAGCAAAATCCGCACAATGGCTTGCAAAAGCACGCACAAATGCCACAACGGACAGTCACCCAACGGACGTAGTGGCACAACCTTTACTTTCTTTATATCGAGACCATGCTTCAAGCAGCAAGCCTTTGGCAGAATTGTTGGTTGAGATTTTGTCGATTGCTTTGGTGCAGAGTGTTCTGGTTAGCCGTTCTTCTTGCTGTGCTCATTGCTTGTTTGAGCTGAAGCGCTGAGGTCTTTTGCTTGGTAAATCGAGCACGAGGAACTGCATTGGTGTCGCCTGGAGAGGCCCAAGATAAGTTGGGACGCACAGCAAACTTGTCAAATGGTCAAAGAAGTGTGCGCTGTGCGCTGCGTGTGAAGGTTTCCAACCAATATCGCCCTCACTCTTTCAATAGCTCATTCAATAATTCATTAAGTTAAAGCTTGCAAAGGTTGCAAGCTCCGTTGTTTCCTTTCAGATGTGAATGGGCGTGTTCCTCAAAGAGGATAGGATAGGATCGATTGGACGGACATTCTAAATAACCAGGAGAGATCCAGCCTCTCCGCAAGAAAAGCAACAATTCAAACACCCACGCTTCCAGGTTTGGCTCTTACTCAGGGCTTGCACCATTGCAGCTTTAGATTTGTTGAATCTGCAGAGCACTCTATCCCTGCATGAGGTCTCATAGTGAGACATAGTAAGACATATGCAATTTGCAACTACGAGAGCCAAGGATGCTTGTGTTAGCGTTGTTGAAGCGATGGGCAGCGACCCCTAGTAGGACATAGTAACTGTAGGACTGTCAATCGATTGAAGCGGGCCTATGACATCCGGCAAACATGGAAGCCTTTTCACGCCCTTTTGGCAATGAATTCAGCACTTACACCAGCACCCGCACCAACTAAGAAAACACCGATCCAGCGCCAGCACTTGCACGGGCAAAACATGGCAACGAAACGCCGATCCAGAGCCACACCATTGAGAAGTAAGAACTCCTATAGCTTGCAGCTATCTGGGGAAAAACGGGATGATCTGAGGCCCGCGCGAGATTTCAAAGGGAAGACATGCCAAATCCCGAATGCGAGAAGTGCGGAAGGCTTCATAGGGTCTCAGGGCAAACCACGAAGATGTTCAAAGATTTTTACGATTGCACAAAGCTCCAGAAAGTAGCTTTAACTTTAACTACCAAAATGGAAGTCGCTCAACGTGTTAGCCTGCTTGAAATGGTGAACTGCGAACGGCAACCCATGCAGGACTGAAACTTGCGCAAATTTCTACTGACCTGCCACTCCGGGAAACCGACTAGCAATGTCGAGCAACATTACCATCCTGACGACCAGGGCTGAACGGAAGGGATTTGGCACTGTCAGAGCTTCGCTATTACATGACTCCTCCAGTGCTTTGTCCAAGCAAGCCCATGGAAGCCCCTACACGCCCTGGCCTTACCACGAGCTCGGAGGCATCGACATTTTCTCTCACTTGTCCAGCCTTGCCATATCAAACTTAAGCTAAACTTAAGTTGATGTGGGTCTTCAAATTTATATGCGGCATTCTGCCAGTCCCACCCGATGCGAATAGGTCCGCTTGAGTGTTTCGGAAGTAGAGGAAGATCCTTGCCCTTTGTAACGGCACATGTGGCCCAACCATTGGCCACACTAACGCACCAATATACCCACCGGCAGCCGATCGCAATTTAACCCCAAAATGGGAGGAACAGCCTGCCGATGAACGCGAGGTGCCCCGTGGCAAAGGATCTTTCAATGCTTTTCACCTTTCACATTCAGGAATTTATAACGGCGTGTTTCAAGCAATCAAGGGCACCCGAATTATTATACACCCCAAACATGCAATAGGCAATTACAAAGGCGATCATCATTGTGCCCACGAACAATCGCTGACGATAATGCTTCCGCGGGAGCATCATGGGGCGGCGCGACAACACAACAGAAAAACAAAAAAAATCTCCAAGTTCGTCGTCAACGGGCTTCGTGGCACCCAGCAAGGGATGAAGTCTACACAGAGATGTTCAGTCCATACTTCTGAACGCAAGATTTTCAGCTGGTTCCCTGTCAGGTAATACAGGCGTTGCGGTCCTGTTTGTCCCCAAGAGTGCGGCGATTATATAATATAAAGCATTGGTTAAAGCCGCTCGGGCACACCGAGGTTGCAAGCCTGGTGGGCCATTGCGAATGAGAAAGCTTGGGTCAGTCGGTGCTCTCGTGCAAGGCTTAAAAAGCCGGTAAGAGGGCCTTGTTGGCACAAGAAACTGCAGCCGCAAAGTGAGGCAGTGGCATTGGCGAGGAGCTATGATTATTGGGGCACATGTGGACATTTTTGTTTTTGTTGTCCTTCTCGTGTTCCAAGTTAGCCAGAGGTCGGAACCTGTGAGCATTTGGCGCCCCAGTAGAGTTCATAAACGTTGGATAATGTTGGTATTCACCTAATGATGAACAACTTTAGCCATTAATCCAAACTCAGAACTACTCAATTGACACCAGAACAAGAAGACGATTTTGCTGTGAAGGGCTGCAAATGGCTCTCGAGCAACTGGCTTTGAGTTTGTGAATGACAAGTCACAAGTCACATTTGCCTACAGACAACTCAATAGTCATTCAGTCGCAGACGAAGGTTTGAACTGACCTCCCCCAGGGTTCACCCCCCCCCCTGCCTCGCAGAAGTAGCACAAATGACTGCTTACTAATATGATGATGTTAACCACTATTGAGTGCTTATTAAGCACTAACAGCAAACAGTAGGATTTCTGCCTAATAGTGCGTTAATAGAGTACATTCCTTATTTTAATCTCTGGATTATCAGCTTTAAACAATTAATCAAATAGTCACAATCTCAAGAAATCTAAAAAAACGAAGCTTGATTGACCACCACGTCATCCCAATGCCACACGTGTTTCTTCCGCTGCATCACTTCGTGATCCGTTCTTGCATGCACAGCCTCACGACAAGGCATTCAAATACTCCTGCACATCTGCTTCAGTGGGAACAGGAAGGGTTTCCTTCGGAAACCTGCGGTTCCACCGAGCAAACGACCAATTGATCACTTCCATCAACGCTGTCACCTCATCCCTCTTAGCGCCCCAACTCCGGGAACATGAGCTTGGGGATTCACCCGGACCTCAATGCATTTCAAAGGTGACTCAAAGGCCATTAAAAAAAACTTTTATACAGTAGTCTCGTAGTAGTATAGTATAATTGTCATTGTCTGCAGAGGGTATCTCTTTTCAATCTTAGTCCAATGAAAGAACTTCTGTGTCCCAATGAAAAAAGTGTTGGTATTCTAGTAGCAAATCACCAAACACTCTGAACTGAATTGAAGACCAGTGACAAGGAAACACAACTTGAGCAAAAAGCTTGGTGCGGTCGTGCTTGAAGCTCAAGCCCTGAACTTGCTTCTCTGCAAAAGCAAACGGGGAGCGAAACTCTCTGGGCGTAACCTTCGCATGGCTTTCCCCACAGCGAGACGACGATGCTGGCGCAGCTGCAGGAGCATCAGCAGAACCAGCACTCTCATTCGCAGCATCCATGTCTTTCTGCATCTGTTCTATTTTCTGCTTTGCTCCTTCCAATTCCTTTTGCAAAGAATCCTTGAGCTCGCGTTCAAGTTCTTCTCTAGCCAAATCGACGACCTTCTTGAATTCATTTTGGTTCTCCACATCGAGCTGCGAAACCATGAACTCAAAAGTATGCTGCTTGATGTCAGCATCTGTCAACTGTGTTTGCACTGGTCTTTCTGGCCGGCGCAATGACATCAACCATTCGTTCGATGTCTGTTTGCAATGCTTCTGGGAACAAGTGCTTCACAACCTGAAAAGCAACATCACGCTTCAGCACTGCTTTGTTCTTTCCAGTGCCTTGCCCTTTCTTCAGAACTGGCAAGCGCAAACAATCTCGAATTGAGTTCAACTCTGGCAAATTGATGCGAAGACCTCGCCACAATGCTGAACGAAGAAGAGTGTCACAAGGACCTGTTTGCATCAGCACTGAACCTCTCAATTGTGAGTGATGTGGGACTTCACAACTTGTATTCACATTCACTGTCATCACAACTGAAGTTGAAGATCCAAGACGGTCGCATCTGCTTTTCCTGAACGATGAAGAATACCTCGGCAGGACCATGTACTGTTGAAGTTGAAATGGCAAGCAGGCAAAGTACTTTTATATATTCAAGTCTAATGTACAGTAGTCAATAAACAGAGTCTTCTTGACCAGTCTTGAGTGCAACCTGTTAATAAGAACAAACAACACTAAAATGATCTGAAATGATAAACTAAACTGAACTGAATGAGTAGCAGCTACTGAATCACCGACTTGAACCCTTTCCAGCAACACCGCAGCCGCCCCCCATGTCTTGAAACCCATTGAGAGAATGTACTTGCCGCAGCTCTCATAAACTTCATTCTCCTTCAACAGGCAGCCTGGGCAAGGCAGGCAGTCTGTATAATATGAGTCGAGTGGTCAGGGAAAATGAGAAAACGACAGGCCATGCCCACACAACACTACGAGTGAGTGTGCGACTTATTGCAAAAAAGAAAAGAGGACAAGGCACCAGCCCAAGCATTCCCAACGTTCTTGAAGTTGCTCTGGACATCTCTCACCAGGTAAGCAGTAGCCGCGGCGCTTCTTTGAAGAGCATCTAGCCCTGCTGGTTTCCAAGTAAGGTCACTGAGATTAAACTGATCATCATCATGTTTGCTAAGCTTGTTCTCGTCAGTAGGCAAAGGGGTCGCGTTCATGTTGAACACATGGGATTCCATGTTTTTGATAGCACTTGCACCTGCAGGTGACATCAATATGTTCCACCAATCTGATTCTGACGGGAGAATCTGCGGTGCATCTAAGTGTGGATTGAGCGTGGCTAAAAACCATCTCATGTAAGCACTCACCCTTTTGTTCACATTCATAAACTGGATTTGTCTTTGGCACGCGTTGAAGCAGCTCTCCAGATTTTCCTTTGTAGTACCTGAAGCACTGTAGAGTCTCTGGGCAAACTTCAGGAAAACAGGGTCCACTGGATCAAACTTGTTTCTGAGTCCTCTCTTTACGAACCAATTGCTCTGAGTTCCAGCTTACATCGGTGAGGCATGCCAGCAAAGCACCACTGGGATTTGCCACATCTTCTGCCCTTTGGATGGCCGTTGCAACCACCCAAAGATGCTTACAAGCACGCTTGCGTTCTGCCTCATCTTCCAAAAGGTAGAGGGCGATGGCATGTGGAAACGTCCAGTAGTAATGGGCATGGGTCCAAATGATCTCTTGGCACAAGTGGAATGCGAATTTGTAAAAGTACTCCATAATGCCAGCTTCAAACTCATCACAGGGAAGTTTGTCCGCATCAAGTCTACGAGAGTGCGTTGGTGGAGTCATACCCAATCTCTGGAGAAATGGATCGCTCTGAACCTGCTTCAAACATTCAAGTGCACACTGAAAAAATCCCGTTGCTGCAAGGTTTGCTGCAAATGACAGTTGTCCTTCTCCGGTTTTCTGTTGACGGAGGGTGCGGAAGTAGAGATCTTCCAGTGGTGCTGACCCTCGACTCAAAATGATTGACTGAAGCTGCAACTTGTGATCTGAAAGAAGATCAAAAACCATTGCAGCAGGTCCTCGCCCACTATACTGATCATAGAGCTCCTTTCGTGTTTTTGGCTCTGGAGCCTCTAATTCCTCCGCATCGTCCTCCTCAGCCTGATCAGCAGCATCGTCGTCTGGCAAAGGTTGGAACTCCGCCAGGCGATTCTCCACTTCAGGGTCAGCCTCAGGACGAGTTGGCAGGACGGAGTGGGCGGGACTGGGATGGCAAAAACAGTGGGCCGACAAACAGCGTGTAACAACCGACAGCTTTGTCACATCATGACCAGTTGTTTTGTATGAGTCTCAAAAGATGTACTTTTCTATTGTAGTAATGACCTTGAGTCTGAGTAGGCAACTGCTAGAATCCTTATTTTCGATACCGTTTTGGTCTGGTACATCATGTCATAATAATAAGTTCTCCCATTCATTTTTGATGCGATGACTCAGAGAACAGATTTGTGTGACTTGCACCATATGAGTCCAGGAGTCTAAGTTTTAATGGAATCAAGTTAGCAAACACGTTGAAAATGTGAAACTAACTACAAACTTTTCTGAAACTGACAGCTTTATGACAGTGCCACGCCAGTGAATCAAGAGTGCACGCAAGCCTTCCTTCTGAACGGTCCAGTCTTTGACGAGCCGACGTACTGCTGAATTGACAGCGAACCAGCGTTTCTGCTTTACCTTGGCAGACTGACCAGCAACTTGAAGCTGGGTCAATTCCTTTTAATTTGGAGGCGAAGAAACCCTACACTCACACAAATTATAGAAAATTGTTGGGGCTCTGTCATGCATGATACATAGGACCCTCGGTTTGCGATACTCTTTGACTTCAGAAACTCATTGAGTGTGATCACAACTTCTTCCCGTGTGTGCTCATGAGTTAGCTCACGGTCGAAGGCAATGCTTTCAGACAAGCTCATGAAGTAACTTGCAGGCTGTTTCCTCAAGTAGTAATTCAAGCACTCACTCTTCTCTAAGAGCATTCCTCCACTCTGAAAGCTTCCATGGTTCAGGTTACCTCAGAATCCGGGTACAGGAAGAATGCACCATGACGTAGTCGTTATTATTACTTACTATCCAGCAGAAAAGAAAAAGAGACTAGGTGGGCTTTATTTAGTCAGTCAGGGAGCAGCAAATAACCAGTTTCATCATGGCCATTGAGAGGCCAGCTTTCGATTGTGAGCGTTTGAAAATGTTCCAGAACTGATGAGCTTGGTCTGCATCGACAATAGTGAAAGCCCCAACAACTTGATTCAAGTAAAGCAAAGCTTTCACCTGGTACTTCTCTTGGTCTGTAACCTTAGCAACTTTGACATACCGGGCCGAATGCTAGTGTGGCATAGTATGATATGAATAGATATAAATTATACAAAAATAGATACCAACATTCAATAGTGATACTACACACAACGATCTGTAAATTACCGGTTAGTCCGTACTAATCTAAGTATCAACAAAGCTGCCGGATCACCTGATTTCGAACCTAACCTTCGATCGAGGCGGCGGTTTAACATATCCATATTCCCCAACTTGGAAGCCAAACTCGAAATCGAACCAAACCTGGGAATCCACCAGTTTGTAACAAGAAGCAAACCTGAGAACCGGGTAGTTCAAAGACGGTAGTTCGACAGCAACCGAAGTCGGAGAGAGCGATCCATCACCGGGCTTCGACTTGTCCTTCACGTCAGGAACCCAGTGGACGAGCTCCTTTCC